TTCTGCACAAATCCTGCTAATAGATTATTGGCTACCTTTAATGTAGCACAAACCCCGGCATAAAATTTCCAACACTGCCTGTGACATGTAGATTATAACTTGTGAAGATATCAGACCCTGTTTTCTTAATAGTTGTGTGACATTTCCCTGAGGCTGCTTTTCTATATGTGAAAATAAATTCAAAATTTGTGTCACATGAAGTTTTTTTAAAATATCTCATTAGCAAAACAAAATGAATATTCTCCTACATAATTTGCCGTAAATATAAAATCTCCTTGTCGTTCTTTCTCTCCATTTAAGATTGTTTTACCTTTTGGATCTGTTACCAAATAATCAATATCAAATGAACCACCAGTTTGTACCTAATGAACAAATAAATATAAGTAATGAATAGTTAATTAATTAATTAAATAATGAATTATAAAGTTGGGATGATAATAATGATAATGATAATGATAATGATAATATTAATTACTGCAAAATAAAAGGCAATCTTTTCTCCCGGTTTATCAATCCAAGCATAAAAGCAAGCCTTTTCATGAGCTGCTACCGCATATGTCAAAGAAGTTGCTTCTGAAAAATTTGGAGATATATTCATATATAATAATATGCTCATTATAAGATATAATAATGACGACGATGTAAAATGTGTTGTTATTTCCTTCATATTTTCTTCAATTCTTTTTTTATTTTTTATTTTATTTCAAAAAAAAGTTTTTTTTTTTTTAATTTATAGATACTTGTTGTACAAATATAAACGATTTTTTAACCAATAAAAATTGCACATATAAACATAAACCATAAAAGGCAAAAAAATATAGAAGAAAGATGTAGCTAAGTTGAAATTTGGAGAAGTTAGAGAATATCAAAAAAAAAAAAAAATTAATAATTAAAATTTTCACATCTTTCACATTTTATTTTATTATAAAAAGATTTTGAAGGGGAAGGAATTTCTTTTTGTGTCAGAAGTAACGTCTTTACAAGTTGGTATTAAGCTGACCAGCAAATGTTCACATATATATATTTAATTTAATATTGTTTATTAAAAACATTGGAATATCTAAATACATTTAGGAATTTTTATATATAATGAGGAATCTCATCAAGAGAAAATTAAATAATTATCCCAACTATCATGAATGAATTATTTTGAATACATGTATAGAGCTTTAATGAAATGTAAATTACATAAATATGAATTGGCTCAATTAGCTAATTTATGTTATGAGGAAGTAAATGAAGCATGTTATTTAGTACCAAGGTAATCTATTTATGTATATATGATGGTAAATATTGATTCTATAATTAACTTGCTTCGAGAGTTTAAGAAGAAATCCATGCTATGGTTGATCAAAATATCACGTGATGTGTCGAATTTTGATCTAACCAATCAATTCTTGAAATTGTCGTGAAACAACAATAAAATCTAAATTTTTTTCTTTTGACAATTATAATAATGATTATTTTATTTTTAAGATATTGGAGATTTTCTTGGGATGATTTAAATCTACACAAATATAATAATTTAAAAGAACATATTATTTCAATAAATTTAATAAAGAGGTTTTACTTTTGTAGAAATTTTTATAAAAAAAATCATTGTTATCAAAAAAACCATCATTATTATAATAACAAAAATCATTATTTTTTTTCAAATCAAAAACAAATTTTAAATAATTTTAAAAAACAATTCATCTTTAATATTTCTGATAATCATAAAAATTATAATACTGGTAGAATTAATAGTAGTAATAGTAAGATCAATAATAGTAAGATTGATGAATCATCATCATCACCATCATCAGCAACATCAGCAATTATCCCACCTGACCCTGAAAAATATCATTTATGGAGGTTTAAATTATATGTATTAGCAAATAAATTAGAAATAGCTATATTGATTTATACTCAAGGATTAAAAAATGGGATAATATTCAAAAGTAATATAATTCACAAGATAGTTAGAATAATTCTTCAAAAACTAAATAGCCCATACACAACAATAAACTTCTACAATGAGTTATTGTTATCAAACGTAGAATTCACCAATAGGCCAAAAAGGGAATTAGCAATTATAGACAATTCAATTAAATCTTTCTCATCAAAAGAAATTTATTTAACATATGAAAAATTAAGAAAACAAAAAAACAAAAAATTACACCAATTAATTTATCAAGAAATTTTGGATAAATTAACAGATGAAATATCAATATTGAAATGCTATAATGATATGATTTCATTGGGGTATTATCCTGATTTGTGGACATTTAATAGTTTTATTGATAGGTTAAATAATCTAAATATTATTTGGAATATAATTGTGCAAATGTTTTATTTTAAGGTTAAACCTAACATCATAACTTTTAATATCATATTAAAGAAATTAATTGTAATGGAAGATTTCAATGAAATAATTAAATTATTAGAAACTTTTAAATATATAAATATCACTGTATCAGAAATCACCTTGAAATTAATAATGAATAGACATTTACTAGAAAAATTTAAGAATCTAAATTTAATAGATAGATTATTATCATCCATTTCAATTTATAATAAATTAAAATATCATTTATTATTTCTAGACAACAATATCAACAACAACAACAACAACAACAACAACAATGGCAACAACACTGGAATTGATGAATTTTTTAATTTTTATAATAATGAAATTTTAACTAACAAAAAAAAGGTTTTTAACAATTTAAAATTTTACAAAATTATTTTAAATTATTTAATTAAAAAAAAAAATAATAAATTGCTAATGAAATATTATAATGAATTAAAAAAATCAAGAAAAAATAATCAAAATTACTTATTATCAATATTAAATATTACTTTCTATAATATTCTAATTAAAAATCTAATTTATTTAAATGACATTGAGAATGCTTTAATCATTTATAAAGATATTAAAAATTTAGAAAAAATAAATGAAAATATTGATACTATAAATTATTTATTAAGAGGTTTAATAAAAAACAAATATTATAAACAAATTAATTATTTATTAGATGATATGATTCAAAAAAATATTAAACCAAATAAAATCACTATATTAGAATTATCTAAATTACACAAGAAATTATTAAAAAAATTAAAATAAAATATAATTAGTAATTTAAAAATTTAAAAATTTGGCTTTTAAATGTATTTTCTCTAAATCAATAGAAATAAATATTTTCTAATTCATACTATTCCTTGTTATATATATATGCTCACTTGTCCTAATACTTTCCACTAATATCAATCATCCAAATCATTATCATTTATCATCATCATTATTATATATTTCTCAAGAAATTCCCTATGAAAATCCTCTATTCCTTACAAATCCATCAAATAATTCTTCAGGTGGAAGAAATTTACTATGAAAATATTATATACCTTCCTTTTGTCCGAAACCACTGCCATGTATAATACAAACTCCTGTTGATTTAAGCATAACTAAACAATAAAATTCATCAGGTTGTTCTCTAACATTAATAAACTAATTTTAGCCAGGTTAGCCCAAAGTACATCTTTTAATTGATTGAATAATTTACATATTTGTTGACTACGCCTTTTTAAACTTTCATATGTTGTTGTTATTTCTTATTCCCAATTTTTGGAGGCTTGACCATTAGATCTGCCATCATTTTCAAGTCAATCCCTGTACATTCAAATATCCTCCTCTTTTACCATCACATCTTTAGAAATTAAATGAAATCAAAACGATTCAAAATTTTCATATTCTTTTCCTATTGATTTAAGAATTTTTTTTTAAAAGAATAATCTCTTTATGGCGAAATTTAATAATTTTTCTGATATTTTGTACTGTCAATCATTGTCCTGTAGTATTCTCAGGATTATTATAAAAAGTGTTCAATTTCCTTTTAGCTTCTAAATGCGGTTTGTTTAATCCCTCAACTTTTAAATTCCATCCACCATCTTCATTCAAATAATATGGTACTATTTTTGCATCAAATAACATTAATGTAGAAGTATATAATAGATGTTGGGAAATATTATTACCAATGAAGAAAAATATTATTTGGATCTGATGATAATCATCACGTTCTGTATATAGTATAATAGTAAGAATTTAATTCGTGGTCCCGCCAATGATCTGCGCTCCCCGATAATAAAAAGTTTTGTATTATTCTTTCTAACAAGTGGACGACAACAAAAGCCATCAATTATTGTTGCCTTACCAAAATGGCCTTGAGTCAGAGTATTTCCTCTCATACGGGTGCTCTGACAAATTTTTAACTTTTATGTACCAAGCGTTATAACGTGGTCAAAAAAAATTTTTACATCTTCCCAATCTGGGGTAATGTTTTTAATTGACGAACGGCGGTAAAATACTATATCATTTTTAGGAAAGAAATCTATCAGTAAAAAGAAAAGACCACAAAACAGATATAGTAAGTAGCAACTTTGCGATGCAACCACATGATATCATGTGCTTTATCCCAATGTTGTTGAAGTTCGTTTCATAAAAGAAAGATTCCCAGGAAATGGTTCTTGTACAGTCACAGATATATATTCTAAGGAGAAGCTATTGTAAAGGAAAAAAATCTTACAGTCTACAAAAATGGAGAGTCTGCACCATTTTATGGGTTTAGTTATATTCAACTACCAACAGCAAGGATGTGATTATGGCTTGCTTATAGACTACACAGTGAATCTCGATTTAGCGGATACTAATTAAAAAACTCGATTTTACGGATAAAGCTCAAAGAATGGTTCCATAACAAATCTTAATAAAAACCTTCTCGATATAGCGGACATCTCGGTTTAACGGATTTTTGGAAATTTTTCCCTAATTACCCAAACTATCCGCTAAATCAAGATTCAGAATGGATAAAATTAGAAACTGCGCGACCTCAGAAGATTACTGCTAGTATGATCAAAGAATACGAATGTACAAAAACGCACTTGCTGATAAGCTTAACCTTCAATATGATGATTTTATTTTTGTTATTATGAATATGTCCACTGAGCGATGAAATTTATGATTCCACTACTTTGTTCAAAGATGTTAAAATTGTTATATAATGGATAAAATTTACCACACACGATGGTGATAATCCTTTGCCAATTCACCACTTCCACAACTTGTCCCGGAAATTTTTCAGCGATTAAAAAAATAAAAGGTATCTGGGAATAGAAAGGTTTTACGACCATGGAAAGAAAGAAAAATAAATCCATTCATTGATCTGCAAGTAAAAAAAAAAGAACATTTGCAGGTTAACATCTCTCGAAAATAGGCATCACCTTCTAAAAGATTGATTTTTTCAACAACTCACATCATAATGACTTCTCTCTTCCCTTCTAAGCATGATCACATCAATGTCAATCACTAAAATTTTATATATGAGTGACACTTTGACTCCCCTGAAACTGAAAGTAACAATGTCCTGCAACTATTAATATTAATGTTTGTAAAGTCGACAAACAAAAGATAAGCACATGGGGACCGTTTTGACAGATACAACTATTAAAATATCAAATATAAGAATTTAGTAAATGAAATATCTCCAATATTTGTGTTTGTACTCATAAATAGTAATAGTAATACTAATCCTAATGATATATAGTATTATGCTTTGCTATTGCCAGTTATTATTACTTTTAGACAACATCTATTTTTATTGGAAGATGTCCTATATTTATTTGTTCTCATCAAGAGAATTAAAAAATAGAACCAGGAAGCTATTAGAATTTGATTAATTGACCTTTTTATTAAATATATCTAAATATAGTGATCTTATTAGGTTTAGAAAAACGCAATCTATTGATAAAATGGTTTTCTTTATATAATCCTATTTAGTATTAGTATTACAGTTTCTATTGAATAAACCGAACATTGCTAATTAGAGAAAATTTTTTTCTTTGTTCATAGTCCTCGTAGTGATTATAATAATAATAGTAGCAGCAGAAGCAATTGACATTTTTCTTTTCTTTGCTTTTAGTTAATTAATAATAATAGTGATTGTTTTTTTCCTTTGTAGTGATAATAACGACAGTGGTTAAAGCTCCAAATGAGTCGAGACGAACTTATGCTTAACTCGAGCTCGGTTCGAAATTTTTTTATAAAATCACGATTTTGCAGACCGCTGAAAATAATAAATTGTATAGCATGCTTGAATAATTTTTAAACAATTCCGAAAATTTCAATTCTGTGTTTTAATATCCGTTTCTAATAAAAAAATTTTTTTAGGTTAATGAATTTTTACGTTTTTAAAAATTCATAGTAACGCGAATTTAATTATAATCCGTTGACTATATAAAATTTCCAGATATTTGTAGAGAAATAAAAATCTTTATTATGATTGAATTCCTATTCGTAATACAACCCAATTAATTCAAATTATTTTGTTTTATTAGTTATTCGAATCATTAGTTATTCGAATTATTTCATTCGTTTGTGCGTTATTCGAATTATTCGTTTTTTGTTCGTTTTATTTGATTTTTATTCATTTTATTCGTTTTATTCTCTAAGTTGAACAGACTCGAGTTAAAACTGAATTTTCAAGTTCGAGCTAAGTTCAAGAAAATAGCACTTAAAGGCAATGAAAATAAAAGTATTAGTATTAGAATTAATAACGTCAAACTCGGGCCTATTATTTCTTGGCTCGTTCGGGGCTTTAACAGTGGTATATAGATGTAATTAAAAAAAAAATTTTTTTCCTACTAGCAAATAGTCATAGGGTTTCTATTCGAATATAATGAATAATAACAACAACAACAACAACAACAACAACAACAACAACAACAATAATAATAATAATAATAAACGAATAAATTTTATTCGAATGATTAATTTGTATTACTATTTGAACTCTAATCTATATATATTATTGACAAAATAAAATCCATCTTAATTTTTCCAGATGAAAAATTATCAAAACAAGATTAGATTTTTATTTATACATTCATCCGTGTAACTTTAAAGAAATGATAAATTCTGCCTCTATTTTATAGCCATGCTCTGAAATATCAATATTTAGTTAATTAACAAATAAAATTAATTAATTACAAATAATTGTAACTTAAAATAAGGAAGGAGAAAGAAAAAAATAATGTTTCCATTAAAAAATTTAAGGGGAATTATTCATACAAACAGATTATTAAATATGTCTTTGATAATAAACGAAACAACAAAAAGCATCAAAGTAGGTTTTACATATATCTTTCAAAATTAATAATAATCCCTTACTTTCTTTCTTTCTTTCTTTCTTTCTATGTACCTATTAATTTCTCTTCCAATCATTGATATAATTAGTCATCACGTGCATTTGCTACCGCTACTGCCACACAAACATCATCAAAGGTATATATCACAGATTCAGTCATCATTATTTATATATGTTTACTAATTAAAAATTATTTATATGTAGGTAACACATGCTGATTCGGAAACACATCCAGCTACCGCAAAATTACTAGATAAACAATCCAAGTACTTGATCAACACATATAATCGCCCACCAGTTATTTTCTCAAGAGGAAAAGGATGTTTGATATATGATTTGGCAGATCGTGAATATTTAGATTTCACAGCTGGTATAGCAGTTAATGCCTTCGGTCATTCGGATGAAGAAGTTACTAAAGTGTTATCAGAACAAGCAAGCAAACTTTTCCATACATCGAATCTATATTTTAATGAACATGCTGGTGATTTGGCAGAATTATTAGTAGAAACAACAAAAGAAGGTGGTGGTTTTGAAGCAGCAAAAATATTTTTTTCAAATACTGGCACAGAAGCTAATGAAGGAGCATTTAAATTTGCTAGAAAATGGGCAAAACTTTCTTCTGGTAATCAAGAAAAAATTGGTGTAGTATCATTTACTGACGCGTTCCACGGTAGAACAATGGGATCGTTGTCGGCTACGCACAATAAAAAATATCAAATTCAATTTACACCTTTGGTGCCAGGATTTACACTTGCACCTTTCAATGATACAAGTAAAATTAATGAGCATGTTAATCAAAACACTTGTGCTGTTATTGTTGAACCGATACAAGGTGAAGGTGGTGTTTGGATTGCTACTCAAGAATTTTTAGAAGCTTTAAGAAAAAGATGTGATGAAGTTGGAGCTTTATTGATTTATGATGAGATTCAGGTAATTAATCAATCATTCCCTTTAAAATACATTTCACATGTCAAAAATGTCAAATATCGGATATCAAATATCAAATAATAATATAAATGATTATTATGTTTTTAAAATAGTGTGGACTTGGTCGTACTGGTAAATTTTGGGCGCACCAAAATTTTCCAAAATCATGTCATCCAGATATTTTAACAATGGCAAAACCTTTAGCAAATGGATATCCAATTGGCGCAATCATGACAACTCAACGCGTGGCTGATGCTATTACAGTTGGTAAGCATCTAAATACTTATATATCAACATTAAACGTATATGGTTAAATATTATATATATATATACATATATATATATATAATATATATATTATTTTTTTATTCATTCATTCACTCACTTCTTCCTCCTCTTATTACCCCTCCCCCAAAATCAAAATCAGGTGATCATGGTACAACATTTGGAGGAAGTCCATTAGCCTGCAAATTAGCATTATCAGTGATAAAACGTATTAATAGACCAGAATTTTTAGCAAATGTAAACAAGGTTGGAGAACTTTTCATAAAAGAAAGTAATGAATTGAAATCAAAATATCCATCACTTATTAAAGAAGTACGTGGACGTGGATTGATAATTGGTGTACAATTTAATAAGGATCCAACACCATTGGTACAATTAGCAAGAGAGAGAGGTTTATTAATTGTTACAGCTGGTAATAATACAGTTAGAATTATACCACCATTGATAATAAAAGAAGAAGAAGCTAAGCGTGGAATTAATATATTAAAGGACGCTCTAAAAGTTTTTGAAAATAATCAATAAAGATTATTTATTTTTTTATTTACACGTTATAAATTAAAATGGATTTTTTTTAAAAATAAAATCAATATTTCTGAAAATACTATATATGATTTCTCTAGATAATTACCCTAATTGAAACAGCTTTAATTTCTAAATTAAAGAATCCAGAAAATCAACTCTATAAAAAAATGTAAAATTCCTGATCTCGTCAAAAACTCTAGCAATTTAATAAAACTTTTGGTTTCAAGATATTTAAAGGTTGTAGGTCATTGATTATAAGAAAAACCAAGGCCTTTTCATGTTGTCCTTGTTTTTTTTTGGCTTGTATGTGGTTGGTGATTCAAACATTTTAGTAATTGTTTTAGAGGTGTCCTACAATGAAAGTTATAATAATTGGAAAAAAATTTTTTTTTGCTTATTTTAAACTGGTTGCTCAATTTATTTTGGGAGATTTTCTTTTGTTATATACCATGAGCAGATAATAAGTGTATAATATAATCAAATGTAGATTCACCCACTACATACTATAACATCACAATGAACAATAGTATCAGAAACTTTAGAGACATTGACTTGACAAATAGCTTCTTAGATCTTTTGCAATTTCAGTTTCTTCCATCAAATTCCATATCCAGCTTTACTTAGAATTAGAACCACACTTTACCTTTCTTTTCTTCAAAATATGAACAGCAGAAGACTCATCCCTTCTCATTATTGTATTACTACTTTCTCCTATTATAATGACTGAAGGCTCTTCCTACATTTCAATTAGATGAATTAAATGGTAATTTGTTTGACGTGAGAAATTTTATTTCCATTCAGTTACACGAGATATTGAGATTATATGGGACAACAAAAACCACCTCCGAGGTAAATAACTCATTTTGTGTAATCAATTAATTCGTGATCAGTGTCTGAAATTGAGTGCGGGGGTTTGTGTTACATATTGAATTTAGCCAATCAACGTTAAATTTTCTACCAGAAGGACAAATTTGATTGGCTAAATTCAATATGTAACACAAACCTCCGCACTCAATTTCAGACACTGTTCGTGATCCGTGATAGAAGTGCATACTGCGCCACATTTTCTGAAATCCAGGGTTGCTAAGTAGCAAAGTCAAAACTTATAAAGAAAACATTAATAAAAAATATGTCAAAATAATGGTTGAGATTTTTTGCATCATATTATTTAATATTCTGTGCAATATTTATCATATGTGCTGGTAGAAAAAATTTGGGAAGTTGTAACTAATGATGCCACCTGTAAATAGTTTGGCCATTCTGTAATATGACAACTTTTCAAGTATGCAGTTGTCAGAAAATCTATAATATGTAAATGTATCTGTAATTCTGCAATTCTGTAATATGTGAATGTATCTGTAATTCTGAAATTCTGTAATATGTAAATGTATCTGTAATTCTGCAATTCTGTAATATGTAAATGTATCTGTAATTCTGTAATCCTGTAATAAATATGTTATGTAATTGAAAATTATAATCAAATCAAAATTTTTTGCAGTTTACACAAATGAAATCATAA